CCCCCCCCCCGGGACGAAACTGCTTTTTCATGTACTATCAAGATGAGCGCGTGTTCTCTAACTTCATGCTTAGAAGGGATGCGTGCGAACAAATGCCCATGAACGTCCTTATGCAGCAGTGAATGAGGACTGAAGGACTGAAATGTATATTTTTACATATACAGAAATATGCTCTCCTTGAGAGTATGCCAAAACTTTGATAAATGGCCATGGTCGCTGTTAGTTTATCAAAGTTTTGAATCGATATTCTAGGAAGAATAATCTAGTATGTCTTCGCAGAAATTATTAGTTAGCTAGACACAAAAAGAAGACGGAGAACAGAAATAATAATAATAATAATAATAATAATAATAATGATAATGATAATAATGCTTCATTTCTTAAAACGCATTTAAAAATATCGATGCTTTTACAAGAATTAAATAATTAATTAACTACAAAATTTGTGATATAACGAAAAAACTTTATAACGTGAAGTCTAAACTATCTATGAACTAGAACAAGATTTTACTATGGAGTTATTAAATATTACCTTTCATTACAATTTTACCAAGGCATTTTTATTGGGTAACCAGAAATATTCCAAAMATATGTCCTGTAATCATTAGGAAGGAATCCCTCGCAATATGGTCATTCATAGGGTACTCTTAATCATAATATAATAAATCATAATAACGTATGCAAGACGTGAATCGAGGAAGACAATAAATAAACAGGGTCAGCTTCTTAGAGTCTTGTATATGTTTTAATCTAAAATAAAATAAAAAATCATTAGTCCTTTAAAATAAACAGATCTTATTATAATGGCCTTTTTCATTAAAAAAAGAAGAAATTATAAGTCGTTTACTGTTTTTCTCAGGCCTTTTTTCTATTTCTTTTGCTTATGAAATTGTATCTCTTTTTGTATTTGGTATCTAATGCGAATTGGCGCAACATAGCTTTATTCGTAACAAGTTCATTAAACTTGCATGAGTGGCTCCGAAATAGCTTCTAATGATCATAATGACCTTGGCTGCAAACATTGTGCGATCAGCTAAAACGTTCTTGGAATTGAATCCTGACGGATGCAGGTTTCCTAAAAATACAGGATGTTGATGATGATGTGGCTTTGCCTGCAAACATTGTGTAATTAAGATTTCTGAAATTGGATCATAAAGGTTGTTGATGATGACGTGGCATTGGCTGCAAACCAGAAACATTGTGCAATTTAGATTTTCTTGGAATTGGGTCATGTTAAAGGTTTCCTAGAAATTAAGGTTGTTGATGATGACGTGGCATTTGCTGCAACCAGTAAACATTGTGTAATTTAGGTTTTCTTGGAATTCAGGTTTCCTAGACGTTGATGATGACGTCGTTCAATTGAAAGTCACGATCTGTGTAGTTGTACACCAAAGTCTAGATTGAGTCACTTTCATTTTGAGCCATTCGTGGCGAAACGAAGAATAACCTGCTAAAGCTAGCTCATGATGTCTTTTTCCGATTCTGATAGAATTATTGAGGACGCTTATAGAAAGCTAAGGAGGTATGCTCCCGAACAGTACGCCTGGTTGAATGCAGATCCTGAGAAGAGAAAAGATGTCACTGAATCAGCAAGGGCCGTAGCTATCGAGCAAATCGAACTGTCCAAAGTGCTCTATGGTCAATCACTTGTTGGCATTGATAATCTGCTTTCTAAGTACCTGACAGACGTCAGAATAACTATGCTTCGCCAAGGATTTGACCTGGAGACGTTTAGCATGAATTTGGACAAGACAAGTGATGGGATGCTATTGGTAGAAATGACTAGAGAAGGAAGTATGCTCGAGCCTCCAAAAGCAGTACTAGAGTCTCAGAGTATGGAATGGGCAATTGTTAAGCTGTATGCCAGCATCTTTGTTGAAGCGTATTTTCTCGTAATGTCTTTGGCGGGTATTAAGCCGCCTATCAAAACCTACGTCGATAAAGTCTTGAATAATGCAGCTCGCTCAATCAATACGTCTTCAAAGCTCCGCAAAGCTCTAGAAGAGTTTGTAAGAGCCTGGAACGAAGCAGGGGGGAATGCTTTCAAGAAAGCCACAGCTCTTTTCAACCTGATCAAAGACAGTGGTGCGATGGATGCTTTCTGGAGTATCCTTGAAGCCATGATGACTAATATGGACCGGTATGACTGGCTCAAAACCGCTCTCAATCTCACCACTATTGTCATTGCTGCTGTAGCAACTGAAGGCGTTGCCTTGATCGCAGAAATAGCCTCGATTGTTTCAGATGCAAAAGATTTTGCGAAAAAAATTATAAATCTGAATGAGCTTCGGAAGAAAAGATCATAATTTCATTAGCTGTGGGACATTTATTTTTCTCACGGTATCACAAACTGAAAACAAAAATCCAATTAGAAATGATGTATTTTTTATTGCACTCCTATCTAAAAGATTTTTCAACATAACGAGCCGTCCAACGGTTTCCTTTAGACTTTTGCGATATCTTTAGCGATTCATTCTATTGGCTTTTTCTAGTTAAATAACTGTCTTTATTACTCAGTGATATCTTATTCAATGTTTTCCTCTTTATGAATATTGTAGAAGTCTGAGTGTACGTGATGAACGTTTTCATTCTATTCCTTACCACTCTTTGCGCATGAAACTGCTACGCGCTGATCGAGACAACAGTCGCAACAGAGAAATAGGGCAATACACTGCCGCAAATCAGAAAATACAAAGGTACCGACCAATTTATTTGATTGACGGAAGTGTATTGCCCAATTTCCTTGTCGCGACTTTTGTAACGGTCAGCGCGTAGCAATAAAAAGAGTGGTAATGTTAACTATTAATTTCTATATTCTTTTTTTTCTTTCTTTTCAATTTAATTTCTAATTTGTGTGTTTACAATTTGAATTTAATTTACATCAACAGTTTTTTCTTCCTCATTGCACGTAAAAACTGATGTTGTAATGAATAAAATAGCTATAATCTAGTATAGCGAGCTCTCTCGATGAGCTTTTCAGCTCTGATGGCAAACTAGATATATGTATGTGTCTAAATAATAAAAAGATATTTTCCTTCAATTCATTGTGTAAAGATTTGATATAAAAAAACCGTAGGATAATTGTAAGCAATTTTAAAACGAATAGGTTTTTGGATATTTTTTTAATTTTTTAAAATCTTATTAAAATTCATTCATTCGGGAAAAAAACTCGAAAAAAACCTCGAAGAATATGAAATTCTCGCAGCAGTATTATCAGTGAGAACAATTCCGTTGCAGTATATCTACTAGATATACCCTTTACTTTCAAAGGCCTGCCAAGGGGTTGATCAAAATCCAGTCTGGAGAACAGGTTGGGACTGTAAGGTTTTCGTGCCAGCTAGAAATTTGTATTCTGCAGCGACGTGACTGACTGGACCTGCATCTCGCGGTTCGAACATTTATTATCGGCAATTTGTTAAAGACTAATTTGCATAACAATGAGATCCTAAAATGCACTGTGCATTAAGGCCTTTCTTCTAAAGATGACTTCGTTATTTATATTCCGTCACTTAATTCATAAGAAGAAGAGTAACCAGGCATGAGCTCCTAATAAAGAGTAATTTAATTTTTATAACCTTTGTTAAAATTGGGATCCCTGTGATAAACGCGGGATTTTTTACCGGAAATGAAGTTCCCCATTTAAATAGCACCCAGACCCTTCTCCTCCATCTGGAAAACAAAATGGCGGCCTCTTTAGCCGTTAAYTCCATGGTGGAAAAAAAGCTCTCTTAGAATCATTTACACATCAAAATAAGAAGGAAAAATTATTTTGGGAAAGAATACATGTCATTTAAAAAGTTAATGAATGAAAATATATTTTTTTAAACTTTGTTTTGTGATCAAATAATACTTCAATCATGAGTTCAATCAGGTTGTCGTTTCGAGTTGTTTTTGTTTTTTTAACTACTGTTTTCTTCTTCCTCTGCAATCAAGCGGCTTGTACGATYCACGTCGAGGTAGGTAAATCATTGATTCAAAAAACAATTAGTTTATAATTTCTAAATACTTACAGTTACGATAGAAATGTTAGACTAAATTCATAGGCATATATAAACTTGTAGTTTAGCTTACTTTATGAAGACTAAACCTTACTGTCGCTCGAARCTATATCTTAAATCTAAAATGTTTTCAACGTTTTCCACACAGCATTCTGGTATGCTACCTGTGAAGCCAGACAGTTATGCTATCCAGTTCTGTAAGTAGTAAAATCTAGCTAACTAAATCAAGTTTATGTTGATCTGTGATGGTATAAAAGCCATTATGGAAATATTTTCCTTGGATATCCGCAGAATTAGGTCAAAATCATTCATAACAATTTTACTTATTCTTTAGATCTAACGGTAGCCAACGATGCTAGCACTAAAGTCATAGTAGCTTCAGGAAAGCCCAGATGCTGTTGGCAAGTAGAAAAGAACGACATTGACTGTGAGGTAAAACAAACTAATGCTTTGTTTTATCTTGATTATCGTTTATAACCGTCATTCTTTGTTTCTCTATTGCAGTCCATGGTATTGATTGGTGGCAATGAAGCTATTATTTCCCCAAGAACAACACAGAATATATCTTTTTTATTCCCAACAACTGTAAGTACGATAAAAAGCACTTTAATAGACTAATATTTTATCAAAGACAAAAGAGARTTAAAAATAGTTGACATATTGTAACACGGCTTCTTCTTACTCCTAGTTTCTCTCCTTTTTACTTCTAGTTTATCTATATATCTTTTATAAAAGACCTTAATTCATACCATAAATTTGTATAATTTTATATCAAAGTAAAAATAATTTTATTAAAGTTAAAGTGCTAGTCACGAAAATAAAATTAGCAGTTATTCGCCGAAGGCGAAGTGAATATCGGGGAATATTTATCGAGACGCGAGTCTTCGAGCGGCGAGGTAAATATTCTCCATATTCACTGAGCCTGAGGCGAATAATTATAGTACATATGTTCTATATGTTCTATATAGTACATAAGTGTTGGGTTTCTGTGTCGTTTAGTTTCAGTATCCTATGGATAGGGTAGACAAGTGTSACTTTGTTCTTATAGTACATAAGTGTTGGGTTTCCTGTGTTGTTGTGTTTCAGTATCCCATGGATAGGATAGGCAAGTGTCACTTTGTTTTTCAAGTAAATGAGCATCGTATACAACACGTGATCTTGTTCAACACAACTAAACCAAGGAAAGAACTGGACTGGCAAGATACCTGTAAGTACTATTATTTAAATAGGTCCTTTTATTAGCTTGGGCACAGGGAGCCCGGCTTTGGAATCTGTACATGAATAAATAAATCAATAAAGTGCTTTGGGTTTCCTGTGTTGAGATTTGAAACAAGACGCCAATGATGTATTGAGATTTGGTAACTTGATAGCAGATTAATGTAAGTAATTCGAGAGCAGCTTATAATTCAAATTTAACGTATTAGTGTAACGCACGCCCTAGTAAATGGTAATAATAGTAATAGGGCGTGCGTTACACTGATACGTTACGTTAATCTGCTATCAAGTTACTGGTTAGTACGATTACCGGAAACTCAACGTATCAGCGCCTTGTTTCAAATCTCAACACAGGAAACCCAATAAAGCACTTATTGATTCATTTATTCATGAACAAATTCTAAACACAGGAAACCCAATAAAGCACTTATTGATTTTTTTTATTCATGTACAAATTCTAAAGCCGGGCTCCCTGTGGCTTGGGCGTAATGTTTTCCCACTTCAGACCACGTGTCATTCCTTGATAATCATTTATTTGTTTAATTGTTGTGCAAGAGAAGAGACATAAATATGCCTAGGTACAGAATCTAATACCTCATTCACACCTAAACGTGTTTAGTTAAACTGTGTTTTCATTAGGAAAAAAATTGAGAGACTAGAAACCTACAATATAATGAAGCTTTGTAAAATACTATCAGCGGCAAGACAAAGGATAGCTTACATGTATTATTTCACCAAATATTGTGCAGTGTTCGTAGATAGTTTTTCAAACCTGTTTAGTTAAAGCACTTTAAAACATGTTTAAGCCTTGGTGTGAATGAAGTAGAACTCTCAAGAGAATGACTATGTTTAAGCTGGTCCGATTCTTATTCAGTAGCAATATAACAACAAAGCTTAGTCATAACATGTTGTTTGAAGTTTTTATACATTTTAGAAACGGGTCATAGCTTTAATTTGGAGGGTGGATTATATAAAAAGTGGCAACCTTCATTTTGACCATGGCTATGTTTAAAATCCAACTTTATCTAGAATCGAATAAATGTTTAAAATGTTATGGGCTGTGAATATAGTTTGCATGATGTCGATGTCAGTTAGAATGGTTTCGTATGAGTGTCAAACGCATGGTGCTGTTTTAAAAAATATAATCGGATTTACCAATTCATGTTGAATGGAAACGTAAACAGATTTCGACTACCCATAAGGCTACCGATAGATCGCATTAGAATTTAGAATCTAGAAGTGCTTGACTGCACTACGTACACGGACGTGTAGCTACGGCTATACGTAAGATACGGTACGGCTAATTTAGTATAAGACAAACAAAAACCACTCTGCTATGTCGTGTATGGTGGTTTTGCATACTCATTGACACCATATCTGGTCTGTTTCACTTGTTTCAGTAATAGGTTTTGGTGGCCAACACAAGACTTGTAAAGGCGTCGACTTGGTAAGATATCGCTTAAAAATGGCTTCTGAGAATTAATCCTGCACGAACCCTGCTACAGCGTAATGTTTAACTACTGTGTCTTGTTAATTTCCATGCCAGGACCCACGTGATGACTGCAAGCCTGTTGACTGTTTGGAAAAGTACAACGGTAAAAGATCATTTTTCGATCAAGAAAAGGGAAAATGCCAACCCGTCAGAAACTGCTACACCAAGATGAAAAATGACAAAGATTTGCCTGAAATCGTAAGTTAGAGGCATATGTTACTGACGTTGGACACCTGGTATAGAGAGCTTGCACAATAACGTGATGGCAACCATGACAGGAGGTACAACACTAGAGTTTTTCCCTGGGAAACTGAATTTCTCATATAAATCACACTAGACCAGMTTTAATTGTTCCTGCCTCTTGTCATGGATCAGTGCCATCGCGTGATGGTGCAAAGCCTCTATAAGAAAGACCTCTCGCCTTTATGAGTTACGGGTTTAACAGTGGCACTCAGGCCGCTACGCCTCGTGCGTGACATTTAATTCCTATTGAGGATTGCACGTTTCTGCGTTGAGGAATGGGAGCAATTTCAAATCGTGTGTGGTTGAGAAGGGGAGGGGGTAGGGTAAGAGGTGAATTTTTGTGTTTGAAGGGTGGGGCAAGGAACAAAATGGGTGGGGCAAGGAACAAAATGGTCGGAACCGGGAAGGGGTAATAACAAAGTGTGGGGGGAGGAGTTAATACCAAATTTAACGTATGTGTCAGGAGGGGGATCCAAAAACACGATTTCAAGTGCATGAAGTAAAAGGAGTGAACTTGGTCTTGTATCGTGGTAAAATGAAGATGATTACTTAAAACCGCTGTTATTTATCATTATTATCATTATCTAGGCTTTTGATAAGGATCATAATAACTGCAAAAGCCTTATCGGTGATAAACTAACCGCTGAACAAGAGAAGTTCTTGCTGAACAAGGCTGACAAGAGCTCGCTTGCTAAGAAAAGGTTYAGCCTGGAAGACGTTAAAGAAATTAACCCGGTAAATTAACCCCCTACCTTCTTCTTTCATCTCCATCATCGTGATCATCATGATCAACATCATCATCGTGATCATCATCATCATCATAATTATCGTCATCAYCATCATCATGTTCATGTAAATTCAAATCATTGCTATATTACATCAGGTCTTTTGTTGTTGTTTGTAGCTGCTACGACTTCTTTGCTCTTTGCTCCATGTCTTTGGCTGTAGCAATAGATTTCACCTGCGTGACCTCACATGAATCGGTGCACCAGTATGACATGTGTTATCGCGGGCATAAACATCATCATTCTCATAGGAATAAACATAGGTGCCGCGTGAAAACGGTCCATGACCATTGACTATGGATTGCTGTTAAATACCGCTGAGCTTTAATCATTTAACTAAGTGGGCTTAAAGCATTAACTTAGAGAGAGATTTGGCGTAGGGAGGGGAGGAAGGGGGGAGGGGGTAGGAGTAACAAGTGCAAGCGCATAAGTATCAACTATGTAGAGAACCWTGAATAGCAATCTCAAATATTTGGACTGGGCTGTTATTGTCAAAAATCATAATTAGCAATTAATAGTAATTAAATTTATATAGCGCACATACCCCAAGTTCAAGGCGTTTGCAACTATACATAAATTAAAAGGAAAACGTTAGTTCTCCCATTCCTACTGCCTTATTGGCTTAAAGTTTGTTTGTGACTGAAGATGGAGCAGACGCCTTGCCCGGGATATGGTCTTGTTTATTACAATAATATTGATTAATGACGATCGCGAATTGTCGATAGATACCGCTGAACTGTAACCATGGTAGTCGTGTGGGCTCAATGTGTGTCTGTGATAATGGCTGGGGTACAGACACCTCAGTGGTGCCGGATGGTGATATGAGATTCATATTCAACTGGTGTAATRAGAGAATCCTTAATGAACAGACACTATCCCAGCAGGCTCAAAGAATCGCTATGTTATCTGTATCCTCTTGAATTGACTCTAAAAAACGTTTTCATTATCATTTGTAGTGATATTTTAATTCACATACATGTTACACTTTTTGATACAAAACATTTTAAAACAATGTGCTTTATGCAAGCTATAGACTATAGTATCTAGATCAATCTTATTTYATTACTAGGCAGTTATAAAACATGGCTTTGACTTGCCTTTTCCCTTCTTGTTTCTGGCATCAAATACACCTTAACCCACATGTTTTGACCAACAAACTTATTCATACATTCTTTGAAAAAGTAAAAAGAAGCTCATTATTTTAAAAATGGGCTTGAACTGACCTGGAGGAGTGATTCCCTTCCCACCCCAACTTATTTTTTCAATCCACCTTCAATGAGGTAACTTTTTCTAAGAATATATTTTATCATTTTGTTACCCTTAACCGCGTGCACAAAAAGGGCCTAGGACTAATCTCCACCAGTCTTCTGATTGGCTGGATTATTATCATTTGGGGCTGTTTCATTGCCGAATTACCCAATAAGAGCGCCGAAGAAAACTTGAAAAATGATCAAGATGATTCAGGTTTGTAAATTCTCCTACTATATAATGCACTAATCAATTGAACCCCCTGACCCCCTCTCTGACATCCGGGAAAGGGCAGAGAATTTAACATTCACGTTTAAACTTAGCACTTTCCCTCGGTTCCCGAAGAAAGCTGATGAAGCTGTTCAAGCAGTAGCTGTTGGAATTGTTAAAATTGTTAAAATTATCGCCCTGTCACGGGGGTTAGAGGCAGGGGCCGGAGGAGGGGGTTGGAGGCGGGGGCTGGAGGCGGGGCCCAGCATTGTCAACAAGGTTTCATGATTGGATTTTTGCGTCTTCCCAACCACTGACCGAGTGTGCGTATTTCTTTTCTCGCCAGTAAGCGTTTTGTGTCCGACGTCTTCAGCCGACTTCAGCACCAAAMATTTTCTCGAATAAATGTTTCAAATATGATTATATTAATAAAAATGAAAATTTCATATTAATTTCAAGTAATTTTGCTTTTTTACATTTCAGGCGAAAGTTATTACAGCAATAGATCGAGTTCTCAATCAGACTCGTCTAGTGATCGTTATGGTTTCGTGCTAAGATCGTACACCGCTCGTAAGGACGACGAACTAACGTTAAAAAGAGGACAACACATACGAAACGTGCGAGAAACGAATAGGAAAGGATGGATGAAGGTTAGCTGGCTGTTTATTTACTACAAGAGAGTATAAAGCACTTACTTCTTACTCTCTTGTTTACAATCGAATGCCTGTATCAAATTGAGCTGATCCTCGCAGTATATGAAGCAACTTAAGYAGCTGCAAATCGAAAGAACCAGAAAAAGTTTTGAATACCATTTGCTAATTATTCATCGTTATTACCAGAAATTCATATCCCTTCTTATTTATTATATTTGTTCTTCATACACCCTTCTCATAATGACTGACAAGTGCACGAAAACGAGATCACCCAGTCATTATTTCACACTATAAGATACAAAATTACATGAAATGACTTTAAAGAAGAAAAGTATTAAAAAATGACCTTTGTTTTGATCTGAGTTAGCACTAACATCCTTTATTCTGAATGAGCAGCTTGGTTCAACCTTGCAAGATGACTGGGTGACCCCGTTTCCGTGCGTTCATCAGCCATTATGAGAAGGGTGTATATACAGTGCCTAGAGCAGCTCATTGATAAGCGCTTTAAAAATGTATTCTTATTATCATTACATTATATTTCAGGGTACTCTAGAGGGCAGAGAGGGATATTTTCCTTTGCGCAACGTCAAAGTCTATTACCAAGATCAGGACAGTAGCAGCTCAAATTCTGAACGTGTTTGAAGACTAAAAGGAACAAAGGGAATATATTAAAGCGGGGTATGTCCTTAGGTCTAACCCACAGGTATACCAAGCAAGGCATTCTTGTACTTATTATGTAAGGCACCGGTCATTATTCATCACCTCAGCTGGGAATGGGTAGTCAGGTTTATTTATGCCACATAATAAAGCTTTAATGATCCCTCCAAGTGATGATATCCTCCAATGAKCTCCCCGTACTAGTGGTTGCTACTTTCTTATTCGTGTGTCAATATCAACCCCCCTCCCCCGCCCCCTTTTGATACCTGTCAATGCAGTATAGGAGATCCCCCCTCCAGTTGTCTATAGACCATGGGACCCTAATGATCCCCCAAACATCCATCGAACCAAACGGTGATAATTAATGTCATGCAGTTCCTTAAGTATTATTTTTAGCTTATTCACTACTTTCACATCCCCATAATGCCTTGCGTCTTTGGGGGGTAACCAATCAAAAAACTGTCCCAAATTGAAAGGTTTCTTAATTGAATTTATACTATACCTGCTTTTATCTGTACAACACCGATTATCAGTTTATTCCAAGTTATWTTTGCGTTTACAGATCATCAAGAGTTTTGGTCTGGACGCAAAGTATTATGGGGATGTGAAAGTAGAGAATGAAGTAAACAAAATCCATACCTTGCTTGGGCTTCCTGTGTTTTTCATTATGTAGTGAAACCAAGCACTTCTTTGATTGACGTTTATTTGTTTTTCATTTTTCATTTCGGCAATCTTTTCTTCATTAGTGATATATCTTTCAGCCACAAAATCAATAAACCTTTGAGAAAAATTGTGCGTGTCATAAATCTTCAAAAACAGGGGATGCAAGCTTGGCGTGTTGTTCTTCCGATGACGTCATTACGGGCAGAAATAGTTGATGTGTTTACCTTGCTAAGCAATGAGGATTCAGCGCTTATCAATTTAAGGAGATTAAAAAAACTAGTCCTAAACACTTAATGAAGGTTATCTATTTTCCACCAGATGGTAGTCATATGTATTGAGTATTAACAAGGCTATGATTGGTTTCTTATTTGAAATCTAGAGACATTTTGAATCTTGAAAGAATATCTCTTCCTATTCCTTTTCTTCGTAGATATTTTAATCTGTTTTTGAAAGTACAATTTAAAAAAAAGGAATCTCTGTTATTTTCTCAGAAATCCAATGTTTTGTAATTTTTCAATTTTTTTCTTT